TATACATATATGTATGTATGTATTTGTATATTATCTGTGTATGTATTTGTATATATGTATATGCTCACACACATACATATACATATGTTACACGTGTATAGTTGAGTGGATGGCTAGACAAGTAAATTTACACAAAATTGGCAAAGTAAGGAAATAGGAAGAAATATTAACTAAGCTTTATTACAAAGCTTGTTTTTTTAAAGCGACACGCTATCAGCATATTGAGATAAAATAAGACCAGTGAGAAACAAATAAATCAGATGACGCGATTTCACCAGAACGGGAAATTCTCAAGGCCTGCTCCCTACAGGTATCGGTTGAGGACGGACAGGCGCTGTCTCTGCAACACGGGTGCCAGTTCTACGAGGTGAGTGCCGCCGAGAGCCACGTCGGCGTGACACTGGCATTCCAGGCACTGCTAAGAGGGGAGACCCGTTCGCTACAGATGACCCGCCCGACGCCCCGACAGCGCCCGCCTCTCTATCGTGGCCGTCTCCAGGTGAGGCAGCGGAGAAAGTCTTTCGAAAACCATGTTTCCAAAGCCATGCGAATGCGATGATGGAGCCCAGACTTCGGATTAAGATCTCTGTAACTTATTTATTAACCATGACAACGTCTTCCGTTGAATTTTGCAAATGTATTACCTTTATTACTATTTTTTTATAAATTGTTACATGATCATTTACAAATCATTCCAATTCACGCCATGGCTCCAACGTCACTTTTGTATTATTTGCGGTAATGGTGGTATGTTTATATATTACATGATTATTTGCATATTTGTTCATTTATATCTTTAGAGAGTAGTGAAAATATTTAAGGCATTCTACTTTTCTTTTGATTCTCTGGCCGAATTAGTTCGACTTTACTGGTACATTAAAATTAACATATATATTTCAGTCCCTCCATACTCCTCAATAGGATTTTCGTCTGTCAATTAGGTTTGTGGCAACTGAACAGAAAATATTTTATTAGTGGAACCAGTATTATGAACTGCTTATAAGAAAGCCTTATATCTATAATATATCTAGAAATAAACAGTATGAAATATGTCAGATTTGCAATATACAAAATAGTCTACAAATCGCTTTAGGCGTATTTGCTCCTACAAATATTCCCAGGACTGCGCACACGCACGACGCACACCACACGCACCCCACACGCATCCCCCCCCCCACACACAACAGAACTGAAATTTTCATTTCCATGTAGTTTTAACCCTTGGCGTCGTATTCTACTCACATCAATTGCATTTTTATTGATATGACTCCTCAGGTACTCGTTTTGGGTGACAACATCGAATTTTACTAATGAGCTTCAATTTCCTCATCTGGAAACAACTCTCTTTATTTGTAGTTTTCCTTATTTCATTTATTTTCCTTTGGTCGCGAACAACCATCAGAGCTTGTTTAGTTTTTCTTTCTTTCTCTCCTTTTACTCTTTTTTCGTTTCTCTCTCCTAATTTTTCTCACATCCTTCGCTATTCCTTTAAATACTGACCTCGTTTCCTTATTCCAGGATGATTGGCTCCTTAATTGGCGAGAGCCCGACCCCACCCTCGCCCACCCTCCGGCCCACCGTGGTCGTCCAAGAACCAGCGGGGGAAGGCGCCTCGAGAAGGAGGACAAAAACCGACCATCCTTAAGTCTCTGAGAGGTCGAGGAATAACGACCCTCTTTTAAGTCTTCTGGAAGTCGAGGGAATAACGACTTTCTTTTGTTCCTGGAGGTCGAGAAAATAACGACCCTCTTTATTTAAGTCTTCGGGAAAGTCGAGAAATAAACGACTTTCATTAGGTCTTTGGGAGACTTAAAAATCGAGAAAAATAAAGACATTCCACAAAGTCTCGGAGAGGTGAAAAAAAAAAAACTTTCCTTATTTTAAGTCCAAGAAAAGTCGAGAAAATATGTGAATGTAAAATATTTCCTCCTATTGAAGCATAATATTGTAATAGAAAATCTGGCAACTGAAAGACAGGGGGGGGGGGGGGGGGGAGAAAATGCGGTGGGGAACTGACGTTTATGGAGTGAAAATGGCCAGTG